CCTCTGCAAACCACATTTGGAATCAGTGTTTCGATGCGATGTACAACTTCCTTTAATAAGTACGCCTTTTAAGACACTGGTTTTGAAGTAAAAAATCAGTAAATATCTTGCGGTCTTTTAATGTTGAAAAATACAAAAACGGCCAGCGAGACTTGCTCTCGCTAACACGCGAAGAAGACCTGTTTATAGGAAACAATTTACATTAGAATATGAAAGTTTAAAGAAGCCTTACAGCAGCAGCGAGAAATTGGACAGTCGACGATGAGCAGGCAAAGTTTTCGCATTTTTCGAATATACAGCATACAAACGCAGCGGTAGTCATCGTCCATCAAGTGGAACCAGTTTCATAACAAACGATATACAAATCGCGAGGCGACAGGCGCAAAACAATAATTTAGACGCATGGCTGGTGCGAGAAAAGTAAAACCATACATATATAGGCAATAAAGTTGTAAAACGGTCAGGAGACTGAGCTGTGTATGACACGTTACCGATTATGATAAATAAATGCGAAAAATTTAAATTAATTTTCACAGCTGTAGCATTGCATGTTGAGCAAATTAAAACAGCTACTATACTATACCGAGGTCGGACCAAAGTTAATGATTATTCACTTCGCGCAATCGGCATCCATAGGTTCGGATTTGCTCTCTAGTGCAAACGGCGGCACTCTGCATTCAAATACGCGACTGTCAGAATGTTCCATTTTGAAAACGCCCCTGGAAAGAAAAACAAACAACATAAACCAAATTTAAGACGGTGAGTATTACCACATATGACCACTGGGAGCGTGTAGAGAAACGTGACTACTGTATTGAAATGCCGGTGCAGACGGCGACAACACGGGTTCCTAAAACAATGAGCTTTATACCGCAATTTAACAAAAATGAAAACAGTAGAGAATGCTGACTGACGACAATGTTGATTGCTCAATCTCAGTGATAAACAACGTAATACAAACATACTGCGTTTGAAGAAATCTCGAGATCAAAATACTACAACGCTGAGCGGGTTATCTGACAGAATCTTTATGACCTTGACCATCTTAGCAACGCAGAATATGTTAAAGAGTATACAGTACGGGAAAACAACAAAACAATGCTTTTGATAACTCCTTTCTTTTTTAATACAGGATTGAAACGGCGTAATGGCACTATCCCTTTGCTTCAAGCTACCTAAGGGACCATCAAAGCTGGCCACGGCTCCATGGTGTTTCAGCACCTGCAATGCATGGATGCAAAACCGCATCACTAGGCAAAGTCGGAAAACTGCCGATATGCCATTATCTGGAAGCATATTTGTACATAAAATTAAACCTGATCTTATGGCTCAATACCATGCTGATAACTATAGAAATTATAACCTAGTAATAAAAATCGAGTTGTTCTCCCAGTGATAGTCTGTAGATGCGAAAAATGAACCCTACGCCTAAAAGTTACTCATAGACACAGACTACGCAATGCAGCATGCCAATATGCTATGTTGGGAATAAGAAGGAAAAACAGGAAGACGAAGAGATGGGTACAGGCACAAAGAAAAG